AAGCTGGTACCATAGAGCTTTCACCATTCCAACACGCTGTTTCCCTATTCAAACCCACAGGGGACCATGCAGAGGGTTTTCCTGAAGCGTCACAGCCACGTGCACTCCCCTAGCAAGAGCCAGAGGGATGCGAGGGACACACTGCGGGACAGAACGCAGCAACTCTGCTGAGCCTGAGGTCCAAGCTGCAGTGTTCTACAGAAGAGAGAAAAGCCCGGCTCCTTCAGATGGGAGGCTCCTGTTATTTTATTTATTTGTCTTTTAATGCAGCAAAATAGTCTTTCTTATTTATTTATTTGTTTTGCTTTTTTGGATCACACCTGGCGATGCACGGGGGTTACTCCTGACTCAGGAATTACCCCTGGCGGTGCTCAGGACCATATGGGATGCTGGAAGTCAAGCCTGGGTCAGCCGAGTGCAAGGCAAACGTTCTACCCACGGTGCTATCGCTCCAGCCCCGCAAAAATAGTCTTATGGAAAGAAATGTCCTTAGAGAAATGTGAGGGAAGAGAAAGAGAGAGAGGCGTGAAGTGAGAAAATAAAAAATCAAAGTTTCAAAAATGCTCCAATCATACTAAGTACCTAGTAAGAGCTTGTCCAGGGCAGAAAACAGCTGGCCACGACCGTTTCCCATCTTCAGTGAACTTGAAGCAGTTCCAAACACGGGCCCCTTGCTCGGTTAGGGCGCACCTGCCAGCACTTATCTCAATGCATCTTCCTAGAATTAGTCAGTGGCATAAGCGCTCTAGGCAGACCCTCTGAGCACTGACTGAGGAGCACCCTGAGGACTGGGAGGTGTCCATTGCTAGGAAAATTGCTCCCGAGGGCTGCAGTACCTGCTGTCCACGGGGGAGCTCCAGCTTTCAACCCCAGTGCCGTTTGGTGCCCCCAGCAACAAGTCACTCCGCATCCCTGCACGCGCGCTCCTTTTTATTTTCACCCCACAAAAACACACAGACACAAAATTAGAATCTCGCCCAGGTGTAGACCTGGGGTGAATCCCCACTGGAGTTGACAAAAGAGCGTGCTAGGCACGCGGAGCATGTCCCCAAGGGGAGTCTTGCTCGTTACTCTGAATAGCCAAGTCCATGTGGCACAAGGAAGAATGTCTCACGGATAGGTTAACACAACACACCCCTGTCAGAGGCTGGAGGGCAGCGAGGGACTCAGGAGTCCCTGGATGGCACAGCTTCTGGAAAGCTGCCTGGATCTGCTTAGTAAAGATTCCAGGATGAAGTGACCAGTATCAGACCTGCTGGGTGGCGGCAGCAAATCAGCGCAGTTCACTAGCCAGGACACTTGAGGATTACAACATGGGTGTCAGCTAATTTTCAGTGGAAACTTTGGCACAAGTTGTTATCAGGACATTCTGTCTGGCTTTCTTTAAAGGCACGATGTAGATGCCAGCACTTTTTCTTTTGCAGATACATGGTTCCATTCCTAAGTGAAGGTTGATGCCATTTCATTTTGGTCCTTCTGTAAAGAATTTGAGACCACCCTCCTTCGTTTGCAGAACATTGAGGGTATTGTGAGTTTCTCTTTAAATTATTGGGGGAACTCAGAGCAATGACTTACAAACTCTTCTCCAGAGAGCACTGAAAGGTATAAACATATTTTTAACTTAACCCCAATATTATAGTGTTTGAAATTTCACTTGATTAGACCATCTTAAAAGAGCTCAACAGATAAATTCACAAGCATGTTTGGCACAGCAATATATATAAAACCAACCAACTGGAAATAATGTCATAAGGGCTCATAAGATAGGTTTGAGAATTATGGTGCTTTCATGATGATCAAATGCTCCATAGAAATAAAAGTGATACATAAGAATATATAATGTCTTTCAACGTATTTATGAAAAATGATTCAACTGATCACGACACAAAAATAATTGTGCTATAAAAACCTGGCTGGGAGAAATATGAAACATTTTTGTATAAAGGAAAATTGTGAAGATAAATGTCAAAATTGTAATAATGACTTTCTAGATACCATGTTTATAGGTAACTATGACTTTTATTCTATACATTTCATTGTATTTTTAAAAAATTAATTACTTTAAAATGACTGTCTAGAAATACAGACTGTAGAAGACATGACAATCTTGAGTTCTTATTTTGGAGTAGGAACTTTATGTCTGCATGTAACAAAATCACCACCTTAAATTTGGAGGATATAATTCTAACTCATCTCTCATAAGAGCCTTCTGTAAGCTTATCAAGAAACTCATCATATCTACTTAATGAAATTGCTCTTGATATTTAATATACTTAGAACATGTCCATAAAGCTATGAAAGTCTTGATTTTCATGTTTGCTATTTTTCAGTATTTTACATTCCCAGTTTGAAAAGACACAGCCTTATCTTTGGAACTAACCATATTTTAATGCAAGGCATTTTCTGCAAAAACACTTGACCTTGCAATAAATACTAATTTTAAAGTAATAATCTCTCAATTATTTCTTTGTTCTGAAAATCATTTACAAAGAACATCAGCAGAAGACTTATTTAGATAAGCATGCTGATTTATCCCTTGAGATAACACAGAAGCAGAAAAAATAATTACACAGCTCTCTCAACTAAGCCTGCATGATACTTTCATTTCATACCTTTTCACAAATATTTTTATTTCTCTTGCCAATATGAATTTACTTTTTCTTCTCAGCGAAACACAGTGTTTTCCTTTTGCTTTTCACAAAGAAAAGAAAATGAAAAACAAACAGAAAAGACCTTTGGGTTGACACAAAGGAATCAACCCAAAGGTGTGGAATCTACAATTCATGCCTGATGCCTTTTGGGATTAAAATAGGAAATACCTTGTTGCTCCTTCTCACAGCCCTTGGCCTTCCAGCCTCCACCTCAGGCTGCTCCCGCCCAAGGTCTCCTGCAGTCCCTACTGTGGGGTTCTTTTTCCGGTTTTCATTTCATTACTTTGTCTAGGCGCCTGCTGCTCTCTCTCTGCTTCACAAGAATTGACATCTTCTCATACCTGCTCTATTCTTTCTCTCCCACCTTCATTATGTCTTATTTATTATCTTCTCCATCCTTCACACAAATTTCATACTTTACTGTGAAAAAAAAAGTCACAGTTTTTTTTTTTGCTTCTGGTTTTGGTTTGGGGGCTACTACATCTGGCAGTGTTCAGGCCATACTCGTGGTTCCTTACTCAGGGGTCACTCCTAGTGACTGCAGTCTAGAAAACTATATGCGATGCTCAGACTATAATTCAGATCCGATGTATGCAAGGCAAGTGCCTTACCCACTGCTTTACTATATCTATGGTCAAAAATAGTGACACCTCATAGACCTTTCTCCTCAGGTAATCCATCTTTTTCTCCACCATCACCGAATACCAGGTTTTCCTTCTTGCTCACTTCCTGCCCACAGCCCATTCCTGCCATTACCTTTTCTCGAATTGCTGTAAGTCAAAAGCTTCATAACATGTCTCTGTCTATTACTTGCTGTTTGTGGAATCTGAGATTTCAGGAAGGTTGCTTTTCTCATGGGCGAAGCATGCATTTTTACATATCTATGTGTGCATGTGTATATATATATGTGTGTGTGTGTGTGTATATATATTAAGCAATATATATATATGTTCATGAGTATATTTGTGTATATAAAGCAATGAATACAAAATTATAACTAGCATTTGATATATTCTTGGATTAAAAATACTTCCTCAATATTTAATCTACAATGTTCAAAGTTTGATTTAATATTTTATATAAGTAGCATAAAAATATTACTATTTCATGCTAAAACTTACTGAAGCACATTCAGAATACTAAGGAAAGGTAATAATTCTTCTCATTTAGAAATTCATTTGTAACTTCTAATTCATTTGAAATTCATGATTATGTGGGAAATATCTTGATAGGCTCTTTGAATATAAATGGTGAAGCTTCTAGGGACTAGACTACAAAATAAATGTAGAGGAGTTTAGAACTTCTTAAGGACAACTTTGTTTTAAGATGATGGGGAGTGCTACAGGGGAAAATGGAACCATAAGTATTGAACAAAAATTGAATAATATCTAGGAAGAAAGACCACAGAGATATGATATGAAATCAGAGCCCAACGAGGATTATTACTAGTCCGTATAATTTGGTGGTCAAGTGATGACTGATACTGAAATTGAAGTTTACTAGTCTTTTGATTCATTCCTTTTTATACCAAGCAATATGTAGACCATAGGCTGTAAATCTGCTACAACATTGTGCTAGTGGGTATTTAGGAAACTGAAGAATGTGTTTGATGTGTTTTAGCATGCATCTCAGTATTCTTAAATACATTCATATTTCTATTCAGTAAATCTGATGAACTCTTTTTTTATGTTGCAAAACTGAAACTGTAACAATAAAACTTTCTATGTCTGAATTTGACAACTCAGGCTCTCATATAAGTGAAGCCAAATTCATTCATCGTTTTTTAACTGCCAATTTAACTTTAGCATAATGTCTTTGTGATATAGCCATGTTATAGCATAGATAGAAATGTCATAGTATGTATCTGTCACATTTAATTTATCCACTCATCAATAGATGGACAATTGGGTAGCTCCTACCTTTTTACTATTGCGAGTAATGCTGCTATGAACATGTTGTGAGATGCAAGTTTGGAGTAATTTCAGTTCATTAGCAGCACTGATATGAAATCATTACCCTATTTTCCAAGAGTAAACTTTTATAGAGCTATATAGACACTATTATGAATACATAAAATATCTATATTGTACATAAAATGTGTGTTTTGGTATATAAACATTTATCATACACTATTTTTCTCTTACATGAATTTATTGTAAAAATTCTCTAAGATATAAAAAAATAACATTTTATATAAAACTATTTTTAAAGCTCACTTTTTTTACTTAAATAACTAATGGGTGACTGAAAAGTTAATCACCAATCTCCCTAAATCCAACCTCCATTGGTGCTTTTCTCAGTTAAGAGTTACTGCATATTCACAGTTACTCGGGTTAAAAACTACCACATGTGCTCACTTCAGCAGCACGTACGCTAAAATTGGAAGGACACAGACAAGATTAGCATGATCCCTGCGCAAGTATGACACGCAAATTCATGAAGCATTCCATATTTTTTCACAATAGCCAAAATTTGGAAAAACAACTGGGTGCCCGAGAACAGATGACTGGTTAAAGAAACTTGGTACATCTACACAATGGAATACTATCCAACTGTTAGAAAAGATGAAATTTACATACAAGTGGTTCTACATAGAAAGCATCATGCTAAGTAAAATGAGCCAGAAAGAGAGGGACAGACATAGAAAGACTGAACTCATCTGGGGAATATAAAGTAACAGAAAGGGAGTCAAACACCCACGAATAATTGAGATAAGTACCAGGAAATCTGCTCCATGGCTTAGAAGCCGGCAGCACATGCTGGGAGAAAAGGCAGCTTAGATAGTGAAGAGAATACCAAGTAAAGGATGTTTGGAGGACTCACTCGGGATGCGAGATATGCGCTGAAAGTTGACTATAGACCAAGCAAGATGGCTACACAGTACCTCTATTGCAAACTACAACACCCTAAAGGATAGAGAGAGCAAAAAGAAATGCCCTGCTACAGAGGTGGGGCAAGGTGGGGGAGATGGGGTGGGGGTAGGGCTACTGGGGTCATTGGTGGTGGAGAATGGGCACTGGTAGAGGGATGGGTACTCAATCATTTTATAACTGAAGCCCAATTATGTTTAAAATATCAATTCCAATTTTCTTGTTCATCAAAAAACTTTCTATCTTTGCTTTATTTTTCTTCAAAGGTTTTACTGCCCGTCAGTCTTTTACTTCTTATTCTTGTATATTTATTACCTATTCCTTACCCCCATAAAGTGTACATCTTGGTCAATATTTTATTTGTTTTCATGCCACTACATTCTCAGTAGAGAGCAATGCCTGAGGTACAATTATGAAAGATGAATAAATATATAAAGGAGAACAAAGTTTTAGGAAAAATTAAGAATAATAAAAATGTAAAAAGTGGAAATCTACACATATTTTTGCATTTTATTGGACAACATAAAAGTATGCTCTACTGAATAAGTGACATTTAAGTGATTATAAGGAAGGAAAAAGGGCAAAGTGCTTGGAATATAAGACTGTGCAATTTTATTATGATAAGAACAATTTATTAAGGTATTTTACTCTTGTATTCTGAAAAAAAAAACTTTTGTCAAATGAAGATACCTCTGACATTTTGAGTACTTCATTTCTTCAATTCACTTATCACTTATCACTTAACTTCCCGTTAGTCGTCGATTTGCTCGAGCGGGCGCCAGTAACGTCTCCATTTGTCCCTGTCGCGTGCTAGTGTAGCCCAATGGCATCTCTTCGCTCCGGGAACATGGAGGGCCTCAAACTGATCGTTCATGATCTTGACAAAGAAGTCTGACCATCTGGTAGGTGGGCGGCCACGCGGTCTCTTGACATCCCGTGGAATCCAATCAGTAACAGCTCTAGTCCAACGGTCGTCTTTAAATCTCATTACGTGACCAGCCCATCTGATTTTCGACACCTTGGCATATGAGACAGCGTCCCTGATCCTTGATCGTCGACGGATGTCAGAACTCCGGATTCGTTCTCTCATTTGAGTGAAATGTGATATTCCAAGCATAGCTCTTTCGATTCTTCTTTGGGAGACCTGAATGGCGTTCTCATCTTGTTTGTGTAGGGCCCAGGTCTCTGAGGCATATGTTAATGCAGGAAGAACAGTGGAATCAAAGAGATGTGCCCGGAGCCGGAGGTTCTTCGTCCTCTTAACTATTTCTTCGACGTTCTTGAAGGCGTTCCAAGCCGCTCTCTTCCTCCTGCGCAGCTCGGGTGCCAGGTCATTTCTCATGTTGACCTCTCGACCTAGGTACACATAGCTGTTGCATTCGGAGATGGTCGTTCCATTGAGAGCGAATGGGGCGTCAGGAACAAGGCTGTTTCTCATAAACATTGTCTTCGTAAGATTCAGCTGTAGTCCTACCTTTCCACACTCACGGTCAAAGTCGGCCAGCATTTGTGCTGCTTGGCTGATGTTTGGTGTTATTAAAACAATGTCATCAGCAAAGCGGAGGTGGTGTAGTTGCTGACCATCTATCTTCACTCCCATTCCTTCCCATTCCAGTCGTCGCATGATGTTCTCGAGGGTGGCACTGAAGAGTTTCGGTGAAATGGTATCACCCTGCCGCACCCCTCTCTTGACATCAATGATCACTTCTTTGTAGAATGGTGAGATCCTGGTAGTGAATCCGCAATAGAGCTCACGGAGGATCCTGATGTATTGGGCTTGAATGCCCTGATTGGCTAGGGCTTCAATGACCGCTTCCGTCTCAACAGGATCAAAGGCCTTCTTTAAATCAATGAAGGTTAAGCAGAGCGGCATCTTGAACTCCCGAGAAACCTCAATGAGCTTGGTTACCGTGTGGATATGGTCGATGGTGCTGAATCCTTTGCGGAACCCGGCTTGCTCGCATGGTTGTCCTTCATCTAGTGTTCTGCCAATCCTATTCAGGATGACTCAACCAGTAACTACAACTGGTCTCATTCTTCAATTCACAAGAGAAAATATTTCCTTTGACTTAGTAAGATGGTAGTCAAATATCTCAGAGCTTTATATTAACTAAGAGCCTAAAAGGCTCTTAATCAAAACTTTTCCAAACTAGCCAATTTCTTCTAGTTAAAAAAAATTACTAGGCCTCATCAGAAAAAGTGTCTCAAATAAAATTATTGGAGAAAATTAAATTAAAATTTTATTAAATTGATACTTTTTTATTTTATTACAAGCTACATCTAAGTAGCTACTTGCAGTGTATTTTATTACAAGCTACATCTAAGTAGCTACTTGCAGTGATAGCGTATATTCTTTATTTTTCAGACACAAGGGTGGATGTTTCTTATGCGTCAGTTCTGTATTTCCAAAGCATTTTGATGCTCAGACAATATTAATGCACAAAAGAGAACTCCAACATTTCACAAGCCATAAACTAGAAGCATCAGCCTTTGAAATCAGATTCAGACTAGAATTGCTTTGCATTTTTTATGAGAGTTAGAAAATCTGGCTCTCTGAAATGGATTACATCCAGGACTCCTTATTGTCATCTTCTAATCATGCCACTTCTATGTAAGTCTCCTCTAGTAGTTTCTGTAATAATTTAATCATTTATTAGATTTTTTATAGTATCTTACCTCTAAAGAGTTCAAATATCTCAAGGAGAATGTTTAGCAGTAAAATTTTATAAACATTTCATAAGCCTGGTGCTACAATCATAAAACAGGAATGAAGCCATAGAACAAGCTAAATAACTCAAATGGGGGAAATGAAGGTGAAAGTAGATAAAAAGGAAAAGTGATGATTGACCAGCATTATAGTGCAGCAGGTAGAAGACTAGCCTTGCACTGGAACAACCAGATTTCAATCCCAAGTATGCCAGGAGTTATCCTTGAACACACAGCCAGAATAACATCAGAGCAACTCAGGCTGTGGCTCAGAAAGTAAGGAAAGGAAAGTGGGAATACAGAGGAGAGTAGGGAGGAAGGAAGGAAGGAAGGAAGGAAGGAAGGAAGGAAGGAAGGAAGGAAGGAAGGAAGGAGGGAGGGAGGGAGGGAGGGAGGGAGGGAGGGAGGGAGGGAGGGAGGGAGGAAGGGAGGGAGGGAGAGAGGGAGAGAGGGAGGGAGGGAGGGAAAGACATAATAAATCTTATTCCTTTAAAGCACTATTCTACAATCACTTCAAGTTCAAGGTAAAGTGACTACCACTGCAAAAGATTGTCAATTCATTGTGATCGCATAGATTTCCATATCTATGCAGATTTCTTGCTAAAGATAATTTTGGAGTGCTAGGTATATCCTATTTTTTTATTATTGGCATGTGCTAATTACTATTTTAAACACTTCATGAGCACGAATATATCCAATGCTCACAACATCCTATGAAAGAAAGGGAGAAACCATTTTTCAAGAAACCATTTCTAACCTATTTCAAAACTGAGGAAACGGAAGCCAGGTATTAATTGGCAGATTCTAGGTCTGATGTCAAGACTGCCTCCTTCAGAAGCCAGGCTGCTATACTAAGGTAGTATTATTAATGTCCTTTGGCTAGAAACTATAAGCACTGGAATTTTTTCAATCAGCCTCCTTTGACTTTCTTTGACTTCATGCATTTTTTCACTTCATTCAATATCGAAACTATAACAAGGATAATTATTTAATTTTGTTATAATATTTGATAAATGTATTAAACTATTGCTCTTAAAAATATGTCTTCTACTTAGACAAACTTGTTGTTCAGTAAGAAAACATGACTACAATGTGTCAAAAAGGTTTTAAAGAAATAATAAATTGTTTTATTGTATAGGAACTTCCTATACCATGGTTCACAGCTTGTTGGGTTAAAGTATTTTATTTAATACTATTTTAGTGATCAATAGGCTATTTCATTGAAACCTAAACAGTGGACACCAATTTTAAAAACTGTATGAATGTGTACACTTTTGTTCAAAGATAGTAGATAAATAATACAATTCATTTGCATAACTGAGAGGTCAACCATTCAAAATAAGTTTATTTTGAATAAATATAAGGCTGGCGAGAGGGCTCCAGAGGCTGAACTTCTTATTTTGCATGCAGGAGCACAGTTCAATCGTCAGTAAAGTGTGGCATCCTGAACATTGTGTGGAATAGCCCCAAGCATTACTTAGGTATGCCCTTCCCTCTTCAAAGATATTTTAGATGGCACCTTAAAATATTTTGTCAGCATAAGTAATGAGCGGGCTGGAGCGATAGCACAGCGGGTAGGGTGTTCGCCTTACACGCGGCCAACATGGCCGACCCGAGTTCGATTCCTCCGCCCCTCTCGGAGAGCCCGGCAAGCTACCGAGAGTAATCGATATAGAGTAATCGATATGCCAGACACAGTAACAACAAAGTCTCCAATGGAGACGTTACTGGGCCCGCTCGAGCAAATCGACGATCAACGGGAGGGCAAAAAAAAAAAAAAAAAAAAAGTAATTGAGGATCAGTTATTAAATGTTCCCACAAAAAATCAAATTGTAAATTCATGTTCAGAATTTTAAATACATAAATTTATAATTCTCGCT